TCTTTTAATATTCGAACACACAATAGTAGAGAAAATAGCTTAACAAATCCCCATATACCATCACCCAGCTCTAAATGTCCACACACGGCCAAATCTGCTCCATCAGTACTCCCCTTTCACTCCACTACATTATTTTAAAGCAAATCCCAATTATCATATCATTTGATCTGTAATTTCATCACTACACATCCTAAAAGATGAAGGCTCTTTTTTTTTATTAAGGTATCATTGATATATACTCTTATGAAGGCTTCACAAGAAAAACAATGTGGTTACTACATTCACCCATATTATCGAGTACCCCCCCATGCCCCATTGCAGTCACTGTCCATCAGTGTAGTAGATGCCAGAGTCACTACTTGTCTTCTCTGTGCTTCACTGTCTTCCCCATGATCCCCCCAACATCATGTGAACTAATCATAATACCCCTTAATCCCCTTCTCCCTCTCTCCCCTCCCAGTCTCCCAACCCTCCCCTCTGGTAACCACTGGTCCCTTCTTGGAGTCTGTGAGTCTTCTGCTATTTTGTTCCTAAAGTGAAGGCTCTTTTTAACCATAAACTACAATATGATCATCACACCTAAGGAATGAATAATAATTACTTAACATTATCAAATACCCAGCCAATAGCAAAATCTCCCCGATGGTCTCTTTTTTTTCCCAGGGGCTTTGTGTGAATCAGGATCCAAACAAGCTCCACACATTCCGACTGGTTCTCTCTCTTTCTCTCTCATCATTTGCTAGTTGAGGATGCGGGGTCACTTGTCTGTAGAATTTCCCAAATTCTGGATTTTGCCAATGGAATTCCCCTGCTGTCATCTGCTGTCAAATTCCTCTGGCATTTCTTGTGAACAGGTGGCTGGATCTGAAACATCTCTCCTTTGAGCAGAAGTGGAGAGAAGAGAACAGGGAGCAGAGGGGGTCGTTTTTATCACTGTTTTGACAGATGAGAAAACTAGGGTCAGGCAGCTCACAAAGCCAGAAAGTGAAGGAGTCAGGGCTGAAATCTGGTTCTGTCTGACTCCAAAGCTGCTTCTCTTCCCACTGCCCCAGGTGGGGAAAGGGTTTGGCACATGACTGGTGGTGCCAGGAAGGAAGCCTAGCTATCCTGACTGCTGAGACAACTTCAGTGTTAATAACAGATACTGTAATTTCATAATTACATCCATCCCCAAAACCTACACAGTAGATGATGCATCATTATCTCCATTTTACAGATGGGGAAACTGAGGTCCAGGAAGGGTAAGTGGCTTCCCTGGACATTGCATTTGGTGAGCAGGGTCAGGATTCATCCCTAAGTTTGTCTGACAACAACCCATGTTTTGTGCCACTGCCCTGTGTGGCTTCTCCTAGTGGACGGCTCCAGCCTTCCTGATAACCATGGTGAGATGGAGTTAGATGCAGAGATGGGAATCAGTGGGCCAACTTTTCCAGCTGCAGTCTGGAGATTGAACGCCCACTGTTGTCCTGGAGTGGCTCTCCTTTCTGCCACACACCCCCACCAAGGACGACATATACCCAGTTCACAGCAGTGAGGCGGGGTGGGGGCAGCCCACGCCCAGCCCCATCAATCTTGGTGGCACACACTCCCTCCAAGAGCTTTCTTAGGAGACCCCACTCCCCACTGCAGCAGGACAAGAATCCAGCAAGAGCTTGCTCAAAGGGGAGACAGAGGCAACGCTCCTGCTGCTAGGAAGCCCTGTGAACAGCTCTTCTTCCCCAGTGCTGTCATGGACAATCCAAGCGAAACAGGGACATTCTCCCCCACCAGGATATTTTGTATGCTTTGCACTTGCTACTGTGTTTCCTTCATCTGAAAGCTCCAAAATTTCAAATAAAAAGGTACACTGAAAGCAGCAGCAGAATAAATAGGCACAGTGATCTGAGCTAAAATCCGGGAAGCCTTATTCACATCTTTAGAAAAACTCTGAAGGCTCCTAGTAGCAGCTGCAGTACAAAGCCTCACACTTTGATTCTAAGGCTGCCAGAAATAGGTCTGTCAGGCCTGAAATATCACTGCATTTCATTACTCTTAAATGTGCATTACCATCTCGTCTCATTACCAGCTGGGGGGCATTCTACAGACCAACTCTGGAGAGAACTGGGAATCTGGGACTGTGGGCAAGGGGGAAGGATTGAATTGGGCTAGAACATGGGACGTTAGCGGGCTTAACAGCTCACAAGGTCACAGATGAGACAGAGGCCCACAGGAGCCGGGGATCCTGTTATTAATAGGGCCCCAAAAGGCAGGTACTGAGAAGAGTCTGATGTCACTAACCTGCACAATGAAGCCAGGAGGAGACAGGGAAGAGGCAGGACTGCCAGGGTAGCAGTGAGGACAGTTGTTGAGCAAAGAATGGAGCCTGAAGAGGTGGTGGGTAAAGGGCACAGAGGCCATCCAGCCTGGCAGCAGGTAGGAACCAGTCAAAGGCAAATTAGGTCTGAAATCACAGGCCCAAAACAGCCACTGAAAAACCCTGGAGGGAGATGGCTGCTAGAGATTTGGAAGTTTGGAGCCCTGAGTAATCTGCACGTTATAATAAAACCGACACTGAGGGTGGCTCTGAATAATTCAGTAGTCAGTGCGATCTCGTTACAGTGCGTATCCCTGGGGTACAAAGGAAGAGGGGCTGGCTCGGCCCAGGCCGGCTGCTGTTGCCTGGCTCTCTGAAAGGGCGTGACAGATGGGCCAGCACTGGCCACCACCCAGTCACGCTTTGCACAGTGATTGGTTTTCAAAGGAGGACAGGGTTTGTGAATGGAGCCAGCTTGTTGCTTGCTGCCTTCCAATGGATGCTGCTGGGTCGCGTGGCCAGCCTGGCCCTCTTGTGAATGGGGCATCACCAGTGGGTGGCGAACAAGCCCGAGGTGACTCCCTGTTCTCTGTCTCCTCCCCATCACTGCTAAGGCGGAGGGGTGAGCAGTGCCACTGGCCTTCTCTCTGCTGACAGGTTTAACCCTCCATTGGTGGTCCTCTGTGTTAGTTCTGTATTAGTTAGAATCAAGTTCAGCTGCATATACAAAAAAAAAATTTTTTAAACAAGATGGAAGTTTATTTTTCTCTCATGTAAATGAGTCTGAACATAATCAGTACAGACCTAGTTTGTCAGTGATGCCGTCATCAGAGAACTGGGCCTTCTGTATCTTGTGGCTCTGCCCACCTTAGTCCTTACTTGCCACTCCTGGCCAACATGGCTGCTCACCCTCCTACATTGCATCCACATTCCAGCCATCAGGAAAAAAGAAGATGAGCAGTTTCCTAGTTTTTTGCAATTTCCTAGAAGATGCCACACAGGAGCTTACATTTAACAGATCACAATTTAAATGGTTATACCTAGCTGCAAGAGAGGCTGGGAAATGTGTTTTGTTTTATATGGTCATGTGTTTGTTGGCAGACAGTTCTCCATGGTTCTATTTCCATTTATGCACATCTTGAAAATGAAGCACTGACTGTCTTTAGTTCTAGATTATCATTTCAGGATATGGTGTACATCCATGGAAGGTAGATAGTGCCTTCCTCCAGGCCAAAAGGCAGATATGTTCCCACTACAAAAGCTTCAGGCTCACCAAGCTCAGGTTCCTCTCCTGAACTTCAGTCTGCTGTGTGTGCAGGCAGCCCTGCCCTCTCTGTGAAGCCCTGTGGGACTGGGGTTCACACTCTTCTGTTGCTATCGCCATGAGTAATAGACTACCCCTCTCTGACCCAGGAGTCTCAGCCTCTGCCAGCAGCTATGATGCAGGCTAAGTTGTTAGCTTGTGAACAGGATAAAACCTTAGACCTCCACAGTTCTTGACTGTGTCCTGCTAAGAATCCGGGTTTCTGCAGGGCTGATCCCTTCCTAGCTGCCTGACATGTCCACATTGGTGTTTTCAGGTGCCTCCACCCTCCCACTGCCACAGAGGGAGTGGCCTTCGGGTGAAATGCCAACCACTTCCAGAATTCCAACAGGTCCTAAAATGCCGAAGACAGAGGAGCCGACCCACCTGCTCCCTCCTCAGCTCTGAGTGTTTTCTCCAGGCCCACAGACCTCCTTGTCCCCACCTAGTTGGCTCCCAGATTAGAGGAGGTATCTGGTGATCCTTTCCGCAGTTCCCTGAACCTCCTTCCCCACGCCCCACCCCATGTCCTCCAGATCCCCTACTGCCCACTCCCTCATCCTACTTGCCACCCTTCCACCAACATCTCCCAGGTCAGACCCTCCTGGAACTACAACCTTCAGTCAGCCTGTTCTGGAATTGCCTCCCTGCCCCAAGCCAGTCAGTCCTCTGTGGGCAGGGAACTAGGGCCCAGCCAGCCATTCAGGCAATACCCTCCCCCCAGTCCAGATGCCCATCTTTGTGTGGGGAAAACTCCAGCTGTCCCCTCTGTCCCAGTCCCATGGCCCTGGTCCAGACCCTACTACTTCTCACCAAGGTGTTCATAGCAGCCACCCACCAGGTGCCCCCAACCTCCAGTCCAGGCTTCAGAGAGCTGCCCAAGTGACTCTTCTAAGTCAGTTGGCTCACACCATGGCGCGGAAGACATGACTGTTCCACTCACCAAGCTCCTCTCTCTCCTGCCCTCTCTTAAATGCCATCACGCTCCAGCCACACTGGGCCACTCTGCAGGTCCTCTCAAAAGCCCCGGCACTTTTGCACCTGCTATCAAATCTGCTGGGAACGCCCTTCTCTCCTCTCCCTGCCCCCTTCCTGGCACTACCCCTTCCTACCCATTTTTCAGGACCCAACTCAAGCATAACCTCATCTGAGAAGCTGTCCCTATGCTCCTCCACAATCTGAGTGGCTGGGCTCTGCCCTGTGCTGCCACATGATTCCCGTCAGGGTTCGTCCCCCAACACACGTTAATCATTTGTTCATATTACTTGTCTTTTCTTCCAGACAATAAGATCCTGGAGAGCCCAAAAGAGAAGCTACTTCCTTGAGGGTTTCAGGCTGGAGATGATTCCAGGATGGAGAAAGGAGCAGTGAGGCTAGAGAAAGCTGAATGGGGATTTGCCCCTCATGAAGACCAAGGAGTGGGGGCCAGGAGAAGAGTCAGGTCCTAAAGGAAGGGCAGACTTGGGTCAGATCACGTGGAGCAGTATGTCCAGCCCCCTTCAGGTCTGCGCACCGGTGGGGGCAGGAAGGCAGGAAGGGGAGACCCCGTGTAGGTGTTGGGGCCTGGATTTACATCAGATGCTATCAGAGCCAGCTGCAGACCCAGGAGGAATCCCTGAATATAAAATCTGATGAAATCCAGGGCTCAAGGTGCTTCCTAGGACAAGGTGTAGCCCCAGGGCAGAGAGCTCAGTCCAATACGAGGGACTGCCTCCTGCCTCATTATCAAGAAAAGAAACCCTACCCAATGAGATCTTGATTACATATTAAAAGACTTCCAGCCCTAAATGCAACGAGAGATCCGGGATTGGATCTTGAAACAGAAAAAGCACATGAGTGGAAAAATAAGAAATCCAACAAAGTGTGTAGTTTGGTTAACAGTATTGTACCAATGTTACTTTCTTATTTCTGGTACAAATACACCATAGTTAGGTAAAGTGTTAACTTTGGGAAAAACTGGGTGAAGGGTATATATATGGCAACTCCCTATGCAATCATAGCAAGTTTTCTTTAAGTCTAAAATTATTCCAGATATATTAAAATAAACACACACACCCCCAAAATTTTTTAAATAGAAGCTCAAGATTTAAGAGGGAAGACGAGAGAGAACGCATACGTTTAAACAGAAGGTGAAACAGCAAGAAGAGAAGATGCATGTTATTCTTAGGAATCTGAGGACTTTTGCTATATTCATCCATTCAGCAAATATCTACTAAGCATCTACTATGTGCCAAGCATTGTTTTCAGAGCCTGGGATACAGCCATGAACAGTCATATCTCTGCCCTCCCAGTGCTTATATTTTAGCAGGTCTATGGCTTAATCTGTTTTTATCTAACCCCACTCCACATGCAGGCACCAGCACTCAGCTACCAGGTCTGAAAAGTCGGGCCAGTTCCTCTCCCTGTTACATCAGGGTCCAGGAAGGGCTTTGCTTGACCTGAGAGAGTCAGGTGACCTGAGGTGGCTGCAGACAGGGTGCTGAGGTGGGTTAACTCCTTCTCGGCTTCCGAGTGATCACAGAACTATGTGCCTAGGCTATCTCGCTTGTAAAATGAGCCAAGTAGTAAGAAACCGATTCGGTCCCAGAGATACGCTGAAGTTCAGCAGGCATGAGAGTGTTCTCTCTTTTAAATAAAGGAGAAAAGTGCTTGTAGTAAATATCTAGACTCATACCAAGAACCGGTTTAGGGCCTGTTTTCTGTAGTTACTAAAAACCCTTCTCTGGGCGTGGTCAGAACTCCTCAGAAAGGGAGTGAAAATCGCAGCGAACTTTGTGCTTACCCTGCGCAGGGCCCCAGACAGGGTGGCCGGCGGGCCCCCTGGGTGGTCAAGGCGGGGCAGGGCCCCGGGCCCCACCCCCTCCACGTCCTCGGGCAGGCCCGCCGCCCGCGCCCCGCCCGCTTCCGCCTGGGCCTCCCGGGCGCCCCGCCGGCAGCGTCGCGCTCGCACCAGGGCCGGCTGCCGCCGAGGAACCCGCGCCCGCGCCCGCCTGGACCGGCCCAGCGCCCGCGGCGGGAAAGCTTTGCTCACGCCGGCGGAATGCGGGCCCAGGAGGCGGCGGAGACTGCTCCCCCAGCCCCCACCCCGGGCACCCGGCGGTCCCCACGCGGGGAGCGGCGCCCCGACGTGCGGCTGGCGGAGCCAAACCGAGGCCAGGTCGTTGGGGCGCGGTGGCGGCAACTTAGGACCGCAGAGGTTTGTTTCTTTCATGTTCCTGGTTATCTCCCGCGCCTGAGGAGTGCCTTGAACATGGTAGGCGCTCAGTAAACATTTCTGAAAGAGCGAGCCAATCCCGGCCTCAGTTTCCCCCATCTGTACAACCAGCCAACCAACGGAGCGGAGCGGTTTGCTCCCTGAGGCCCGGAGCAATCTGAAATTCGAGGCTGCAGAGATTAAACTCCATGTGCACTGCTGTGGTTTTCCTTTTAGTTTTCAGGGACATTTTTAGTGCTACCCTTTATGATGTGCCAGGAGTGAATTTGACACCAGATGGCTTTTTTTTTTCTTTTTAAATAAGAAAGAAGACAAAGGGAGGGAGAAAAATATTTTCGAACTGGCAGGGCTGACAGCATTTTGGAAGAGAAGCCAGGAAGGCAAAGGGGAGCTGTTTGAGACCAAGTCTTCCTCCTCCTGCACTCTGCCACCATGGCCTCCACCCATAAACGCGAGAGATCACGCGAGAGATCATATTGAGGCTTTTTGTAGATGAGGCGAAGGGAACGTCATTACAGGAAGATCCACCTGGAGTTAGAACTTGCTTTGTCCTCCTTGGCTGCCAGAGGACTGGCCCCTGAGCTACTGGCTTATGAATTCCAGCTATAGGCAGGGCTCTAGCTAAGGGCTGACTGGCGTTAATTAGAAGAACAGAGAGACACCTGGCAAATCAAAAGCTAGAGCTCCCAGCCTGGGAAACATTGCAAAAATAGCCAAAATGGCAGTGTTTCTTCTGGAATTCCTCTTCTCTTGGATCCCAACTCTCTGTCCTCACACAGGGAGGAGGGGAACCAGTCCTGGCTCAGAATGGCCTCTAGCTCAGTTCTTACTGGTGTGGCAAGGAGAAGGGAAATTCCTAGAATGAGCCAATTTGGCAGAATGCACAATGGTGTCAACCAGGCATGCTGCAGTCAGACTGCTCGGGTTCAAATCATGGCTGCATCTCTTACTAGTTGTTTGACCGGGACAAGTGACATGGCCTCTCTGTGCCTTAGTTTCTTCAACTGTAAGACAGAATACTTGAAGTCCCCACCTTGTGTTGGGTACATTTAATGAGTTAATACAAGAAAAATGCTAGTAGTCTGCCTCTTTGACAGACCAACAAAGCAAGCATTCAATATTTCTCTTATTGGTTCAGCTACAGGATCCCCAGAACTAGGACCTCTTGCTGGGTGGGCTCTTGAAGAGCCCCACTGTGGCACTGTCAACTTTGGGCATAGGAGTCTCAGTCCAGCTGACTGGTCCCTCCATCCTCCTCTTTCACATCCCCAGGAAAATGGATGAAGGCAGCACAGGTTGAAAGAAATCATAACTTGATGGATCATCCATGAAGGGATCTGGGGGCTCAGTAAGGAAGAAGCCACCCTTGACCCTGGGGAAGAAGAGTGGCAAGGAGACGACCACTGGTGCTAGGTCGGGAGGTTGTGGCCAATGCAGTAGACAGTAAGGGGCTTGTGATGGCCGCCAATGGTATATATAACCTATTGGGCATCCTTGATCTTTTGCTGATAAATTGCTTTCTAATTGTTTCAGATGCAGTATCCTTGAATCCTTGACCAGAAAGCTCCTTGAGGCCAGGTCTTGTCTTTCTCTTGGGGTGTTCCCAACAAACAAATTCTCAGCAGAAGCCACACAAAAAGTAAACACTATGGAAGTCTTATTGATTTGGTCGAGCTGTTTCTTAAGGGCTGAATGTTTGTGTCCCCACAAATTCATGTTGAGCTCCTAAACCCTCCGCCCCACCACCCTGTGATGGTATTAGGAGGTAGGGCTTTTGGGAGGTAATTAGATCATGACCCCCATGAATAGAATTAGTGCCCTTATGAAAGAAACCCCCCATTTTGCTCTCTGGCTCCTTCTTCAATGTGAGGACACAGCTAAAAGACAGCCATCTACAAATCTGGAAGCAGGCCCTCACCAGACACCGGATCTGCCAGCACCCCGATCTTGGACTTCCCAGCCTCCAGAACCATGAGAAATAAATTTCTGTTGCTTATAAGCCACCTAGTCTATGATATTCTGTTGCAGCAGCCCAAACTAAGATGTGTTAAAACAGGAGTTCAGGTTGATGCTCACGACTGGTGGGCAAGGAGGCAGCTGGGTACTCAGGGACCAGAGGGTCATCTGCTGGCCCCAAGTGTCTTTCCTTCAACCCACAGGCTCTCCTTCCAAATACTCCATTCAAATTTTTCCAGCTTCTAGAAAGCCAGTGATACCTAGGTTCCCACCCTATCCTGTCACAGGGAAGGTGATGCCCATACCAGACCTGGGAAAATACATGTCTGAACCTACTCTGTCACTCCTGGCCTACATGAGTTCAAGGCAACTTTGCTGCCATCTCATTCCCTTTCTGGAACAGGCATTAGACTCCCAGCCAGGACAGAGCCAACTGTTGCTCTGAGATGTTTTCTGAAATCTCCATATGGTTCTTCACATGGCTGGCTCATTTCCACCCTTTGGGTCTCCTCTTCAGAGGGGACTTTCTTGACCACCCTCTATCAAAATTAACCACCCCATTAAAAATACCTTCCATTATCTTACCCTATTTATTTTGTTATTTACATGTTCACTGTCACCCCACCCCACCACACTGAAAGATCCGTAAGAGCAGGGACCTCATCTTTGGCTCATCACTATCCCGGCTCCTTTCACAGTGCCTGGCCCACAGTAAATGCAGTAAATGTCTGCTTAATGGGCAGTGGCCTCCTCCCTGCCCATTCTCTTTCTTGCTAGCATCTTCAGTCAGTTCTTATTAGGTAATTCTTGTGTCTCCAAAAGATGCATGAATGTCTTTTACTTTCTTACCCTTTAGCCATCAGCTTACTTCCCCCTCCCTCCTTCACCCTTTCAACTAGATGCCTGACATTTATGTGTCACAACCTTTTGGTTGGAAGAGACAGAAAACTGACAAAAGTGACTTACACAATGAGCATGGATATCATTTTTTAGAGCAGAGAGTAATTTCACCTTCAACAAAGTCAAAGCTCCCATCAGCTTCTCTGTGATTCTGCCAAGACCCCCCGGCCTTGATAGGCTTTCCCTTTGGTCTTACTGGCCAGGGTTGCATCATCCACCTACTCCTAAACCAGTCAGGCAGGGAGGCAGAAGCACCCTGATTGGTCCCTTAGACTCACCAACATTCATCTCCTATGATGGGGGTCTCTTCCCTGGGTACAGGGCAGGTAAATTCAAGAACAAAATAAAGGCTTACCAGCACATAAAATAGCACGGGAATGGCTGTTGAAACTATGGGCTGCCCAATAACCTCCCAATAAATTGTTTTTCTGCTTAAGTTAGCCAAAGTTGGTTTATGTGGCCTGTAACCACAGCATTCTGGCTATGCAGCTCAGGGCTGTGCAGTGAGGAGGGACAGCAGCAGGATTCTGGGCCAGGAGGGCTGATGTCAGCACACATCCAGGAGACAGAATAGAAGGGTCACACAGCAACAGATGTGAAATAGCCCTAAGACCCCAGAAACATCTGGTGGGTTTTGAGAGATGAACTGTTAGGCTTAGAGCCAGAGGCTCTGCATTTCAGGTGACTGTACTGTAATTATACTCCCAGGCTATGTAACCTCAGGAGGGTGCCCCACAGGGATTCAGCAAATACTGAAGGGGACTGAAGTGACACCCTTCCTTCCCTGGTGTCCAAGAGGCCTGTTCCATCCACTGTCTTTCCTTCAGTAGACTTGAGCAATTGCACAGCCATTCCCCACCTCCTCTCTCAACCTCCTCAGAGACATGCTGCCTCGTGGTTGTGAACTGGAGCAGCTCTCCCACCTTGGGACCCAAGATACCATCATCATTCAGACCTGCTCCACCCTCACATCTGAGACTCAGACCTTCCTTCTCTGACCTTAAACTCCTTTCCTTCCTCATCTCCTCCCCCTTCTTGGGCTCCCATTCCCCTGAGTCTGCTCTAAAGAGCATGGTCCAGTCCCCGGCACACAATCAACATCCATTTGGTGGTTGTCAACATGGTCTCATCCTCTTTCACCACGTGGCAAATGGCTTGCCCAAAGCCAGCCACTTTACTGCCCCTGCTCTGGTTCTAGAATGTCCCCCACCCCTTTTGCTCTCTCCCTCCAAGCCGGGGGTTCCTCCCCTAACTGCCCACCGCCCTCACCCCTGTTCCTTGCTATACCCACCACTGATTCTGTCTCACATCAACTAGCCAGGTTATCCATGTCATCCCTGGGGGGCGACTCCCAAGCAAGGTGCCACAGCAGCTCTTCTAAGCTCCTGAAGCTCTTCTCTTGCCCCTGCTCACCTTCCTCCTACAGGCAGCCCACTCCCTCTTTGACAGCGGGAGCAACAGTGTAAGGCCAGGCACCACCACGGTCCACCTCAAGAAGGCATTTCAGACTTCTGGTCACAAGATAATGGAGTAAAGCCCTTCCTGTCCCTTTTTTCTCTCAAAAATTACCCTCAAAACAACAAGAATAAGAAACAGAAACCCGAACTTCTTCTTCATCTGGACTAGGAGACACTTAGACTCCTGCACAGAAAGAGGAGAGGAGAGTGCCAAATGGCTAGGACAGGCCCGCCCAACACATCCAGAGGCACACACCTACACGAAGGGAGCTGCCTTTTCCCGCACAACCTCAGAGGAGCCCAGGAATTGGAAGCAGTAAGGAAACTAGAAGGCAGGGGCCGAAAAACTGGGTGTTTGCTCAAAGCTCTACTTAAGAGCCGTTTGATAGTCAGGAAGCTCAACTGTACCCAGCACAATCAAGGGACTGGTATACCCTCCACATTCATGCAGGAGACAGGAAATATTGAAACAGACATTCTGGACTTTGCAGGGAGCAGGGGTGGTGAAGGAGTGGGATCAAAAACTGAGTGAAAGTCAGCATTCTGAATTGTTACTCAGTCTGCTTGCCACACACCTCTCCCCACTTCCCACGCTACCCAGCTCTGACTCTGAGCAGGTGAGCTTGTAGCCTTCAAGCCAGAGACTATACCAGAGACTTCTATTCTGGAAAAAAAACAAGCTGTGCCATTGATATAGACTATTGGGACCCCCCAGTGCCAGCTACCTAATCCCCTACCATAAGCTCACATCGAGAGCTTCTGCTGGCTCTGCAGTGCCTCCTTCTCAAATACGAATGGATATCCAAGAAAACCAGACATCTGAGGAAGGTCTCCAACATGACATAGATCAAAAGAACAGAAAACATGAAATCAGAAGAAAGGGGCAATATAGGAAGAACATTTCAAATTAATTATCTTTAAAGAGATAATACTGTGTGCATCCAGGGAATAAGAACAGGAAACCATTCAAAATAGGAAAGAAAAAACAGGGAACATGAAAGCACTCTTAAAAATTTTTTAAGAAAAAGAAAAACATACAAGGTAAATGGGTTGGGATATAACATTGACAAAATCTCCCAGAAAATACAGGAAAGAGATGCTAAGAGAGAAATAATAAGAAAATTAGAGGATCAATCCAAGAGGTTCAATATCCAAATATTAGGAGTTGCAGAAATTTCAAAGAAATAATAAGGAAATTCTCAGAACTAAAGGACATAAATTGTTAGAACAGAGGTTCTTCTCCAAAGAAGAAATTCAGATGGCCAACAGGTACATGAAAAGATGCTCCACATCGCTAATCATCAGAGAAATCCAAATTAAAACCACATTGAGATATCACCTCATACCAGTTAGGATGGCCACCATCCAAAAGACAAACAACAACAAATGTTGGTGACGATGTGGAGAAAGGGGAACCCTCCTACACTGCTGGTGGGAATATAAATTAGTTCAACCAATGTGGAAAGCAATACAGAGGTTCCTCAAAAAACTAAAAATAGAAATACCATTTGACCCAGGAATTCCACTCCTAGGAATTTACCCTAAGAATGCAGGAGCCCAGTTTCAAAAAGACATATACACTCCTATGTTTATTGCAGCATTATTTACAATAGCCAAGAAATGGAAGCAACCTACGTGTCCATCAGTAGATGAATCGATAAAGAAGAGGTGGTACATATACACAATGGAATATTATTCATCCATAAGAAAAAAACAAATCCTACCATTTGCAACAACATGGATGAGGCTAGAGGGTATTATGCTCAGTGAAATAAGCCAGGCAGAGAAAGACAAGTATCAAATGATTTCACTCATCTGTGGAGTGTAAGGACAAAGCAAGAACTCAATGAACAAAACAGCAGTGGACTCACAGAACCCAAGAATGGACTAACAGTTACCAAAGGGAAAGGGACTGGGGAGGATGGGTAGGAAGGGAGAGATAAGGGGAAAAAGGGGCACCGCATAATGTGGTGGTGAGGGCACAGGGAAGGCAGTATAGCACAGAGAAGACAAGTAGTGATTCTATAGCATCTTACTATGATGGACAGTGACTGTAATGGGGTATGTGGTGGGGACTTGATAATGGGGGGAATCTAGTAACCACAGTGTTGCTCATGTAATTGTATATTAATGATACCGAAAAAAAAAAAAACGAACAGAGTTCTCCAGCTTTAGGACACATTAGAATATTAGAATATACCTGGAGGGCTTGTTAAAACACAGATTGCTTTCATATATATATATATATTTTATATATATATAAAATGAAATATTATTTAGCCATATTCAATAGTTATACATATATATGAAATATTATTCAACCATAGAAAAGAAGATCTTGCCATTTTTGACAACAGAGTTGGACCTTGAGGTATTTTGCAAAGTGGAATAAGTCAGACAGAAAAAGAAATACCATATGATCTCACTTATATGTGGAATCTTTAAAAAGAACCCAAAAAGCAAAAAGACAAAAGTAAGCACATAGATACAGAGAACTGAACGATGATTGCCAGAGTTGGGGGTGGAGTGTAGGTGAGGAGTTGGCAAAATGGGTGGAGATGGTCAAAAGATACAAAGTTCAGTTATAAAATAAGTCACAGGGATGAACAGCAAGGTGCCCATAGTTAAGAATACTATATTGCATGTTTGAAAGTTGCTAAGAGAGTCAATCTTAAAAGTTCTCATCACAAGAAAAAAAAATTATACCTATATGTGGTGATGGATGTTAATTAGATATACTGTGGTGATCATTTGACAATGTATACAAATATTAAATCATTATGTCATACACCTAAAACAAATGTAATGTTACATGTCAATCATACCTCAATAAATAGCAACAAAAACACAGGTTACTGGAACCTATTACAAGATTCTGATTTTGCATTCCTAACATGTTCTAACTCAGAATTTGCATATCGAACATGCTCCCCAGAATTTGCATGTTCAAACCATGATGTTAATGGTGGTGGTCCAGGAACCACACTTTGAGAACCACTGTTAGACTAAAAAGACCTATCAAGAACCATGCCAATATACTGTGATGTTTTAATACACCAGGGGTAAAAAAGAAAAATCCTAAAAGTGGGGATACAGGGAGGTGAATTCAAAGTCTCAATAATACAATAACATGAGACTTAATTGCAAAATTAGAAGCTGTGAGACAAAAAAGCAATGTCTTCCAAATTGATGGAAAATGATTTTCAACGTAAAATTCTATACCTAGATGAAACAATGTTAAGAGTACAGAATAAAGTCATTTTCAGTATGCAAAAGTCCTAAAATTTTACCTCCCTGGCAATCTTTCCCAGGAAACTACTGGAGGCTATGCTTCATCCAAACAAGGAAGTAAACACAGAAAGAGGAAGACACTGGGTCCCTAAAAGAGGAAAAGGGCAAAGGGAATTCTTAACTAGCAGCAACAGGAAGTCCAAGGTGACAGGTGGGCTACAGAGCACACATCCGCAGAGAAACGGAAGGAGGGAGTGGCCCAGGACAAATGTCTCCAAGGAAAATCAAAACAGAACCAGTAAGATTATATGACAGGTTTGGCCATATGCAAAACTGTACTGAGAAGGCGTTTTGCAGAGCTGTTGAAGGGTGTGGGAAGATGGAGCCAGAGATTCAAAGAAAACCAAGCAAATAAAAAATAAGGCAATTAACTCCAGGAAAAACAAAAAAGCTGTACAGGAAAGGAGATGTAAACAGAGCATACAACAAAAAGTTACTTGTGAAGAGGAAATGCTTGCCTCAAAAATACACAACATTTTCAAAGTCAGTAATGAAAACACCAAACATGGGTTTAACCATAAATTATGATATAAACATAAGGGGGTAGGGGGGAGAAGACGCAAATAAGAGACTCAAAATCCTCATCTACTAAAACAAGAAGTCAACAAATTAGGTGGATGAATCCAGAATGGCAGTACATATATTATTTAGAAATAAGGAAGGAAATACCAGAAGAAAATGGTAAAAGAGTTGAAAGTGATTGCCCCTGGGGCGCAGAATAAAGATTGGGAGAAAGGCCAGAGGGACTTGTTTTTGTTACGAGCCCTTTAAAACTATTTGATTTTTAAGCTATGTGTATGTATTATCCTGATAAAAGTAAATATTAATTTTACAAAGCAACTATAAAGAGAGGCGTTACATCCTCCATTAGAGCCCCGTGTGGACCCAAAGGAACAAGGTTTCCCCACCCTCATCCCCTCCAGGGTGGGCATTTTTATGAATCAGGTCAGCTCTGTTCTCCCAAATGTTCTCTCTCCATCTCCTGTTTTCATCAGCCACCTACCCAGTGGCTAGTCCAGCCCTACTGCACTGTTCCCAGAACAGGCCTCTAGGATTCTGCATGCACTGCGCTCTCTGCGTGGAAGGCTCTTCTTTCCTATTTCACTCTCAACCCAACCAGTTAAGGATGCTTTATACTTCAGGCCTCAGTTTAGATACCACTTTCTCCTTAGCCATCCTCCCGGCCACCTAACCTAGGCTAACTGTTCCTCCTCTGTGCTTTCATGCAGCTAGGCTTTCCCAGTCGTCTTAGCACACTGCACAGTAATGCCCCTGGCTTGCTTGGTTTTCCCACCAGACTGAATGCTGAAGGAGGGCAGGAATGCTGCCTTACTCACTCCAGCCCTGTAAAGCAGTCAGTGATCATGCAAATAGCTGGATATAACACTCACACAAACTAAGGGCTCAATAAATAATTGAATGAGTGAATTAATGATTCACGAAAAATGCAGACCTCCCCCTCCACCCAAAACATGCCTCCCTTCTGCCATCTCCATTCCACCATCTACTCCTGCCTTCTTACAAGGTCACACCTGTCAAGCACAGAACCGCTTGCTTCCAATCCCACCACTCCTGCCTCACCCTTTAAAGCAGCTAAGGCCCCCCTCACGTGACAGGGGTCAGCTCCAGGACAAGGCTTTCTAACTACTGCAGCCACACTAGAATGGAGTGAACAGATGAAGAACTCTCTGCTCAGCCCAAAAAGAAATCAATCCCCTGACTTTCCCTGTCCCCAGGCCCAAGTACAACTCATGGAGGTCTGGGACCCAGGCTCAACAGAGGGGACACAGTTCTTGACCTGGACTGCCGAACAAGAATAGATCTAAATTAGGCCATCAGCTCTACCCGGTCTTCTCGCCTCCCTGCCTATTTCGAGGGCCAAGAGCTGAGTGAGATTCTAGTCCTTCAGGCTTGGCCCTCGTCGCCTACTCCCTACCGGTGTCCGCCAAGGTAAGGCACGCGCGGCCTCCACTTGGGTGCAGGGAGGACTGGAGGTGGGAAGCCGACCGCTCAGCAGGGGCCAGGTACAGGGTGGGCGTTGGAGGGTAAAAACTCGCCGCGCGTCACTCGCGGGCTCTACAGGCCAAAGCGACCCTGGCTTCGCGAAGTCTGGGGAGACGGACCCAGACCCCGGGTCAGGGGACTCCGCCGCCCCACCCCCACCGCGCCACGTGACCTCAAAAGGCAGCCTGAGCTTGGAATGCGGCCACCTCTGCAGCGCCCCAGAGGAGCTGGTGGGGCGGAGGGGCTCCGCAGGGTCGGCAGACTGGAGGGGTGGGGGCGGGGCGCTGGAGGGGCCCTTCCAGCGCGTGAGCTGGTGGAGCGAGGGGAGGAGGTTTGGCTTCGTCCGGGGAACCTGTAAATACGGGCCGAGAAACTCGATCTGCCCTCTGTCCCTTCCCTATTTAGGAGAAGGAGAAGGGCCGGAGCCTGGCGATTAGTGGTTGCTGGGGGCGCAGGTCACGTGGCCGGCCAGGACTGGGTTGGGGGAGGGGGAGGCTGTGCACCCGAGGAGCAGAGATCCAGCGAGGCGGGAACTAGGGCCAGGCCCGCCGGCTTCCACCCCATAGAGTTGTCTTTATACAGTCCTGCACATTGACTGTGGGGTGGGAAGGTTGGGGGTCTGCACTATTGCGGGTTCGACCACGCCACGCGCCCGTTCTGATGCCTGGGCAAGGTGCCTGTCGGTTTCACCAAGCTTCAGTGGGCTTCCCGCTTGTTTCCAAAGCCCAAGGTAGATGTGGCTTTGGAATCCCAGGCTGCTGTCCCCGTGGTGGGGGGGGTCAGCTCCCAGGCTCCTCTCTGGGTCTGGTACCCCCGTGAAAGCGTGCCTAGGAGGCTGGCACCCGGCCTCCCAGTCTGTGGCTCAGTGCCTCAGGAGATCAGCAGTGCCCAGGGGGAAGGTGCCCTCTGGGACTGGCTTCTAGCAGAGCCTACTGTGTGCCAGGCTCTGTGAAAGGCATTAGTCTGTGAAGAAAAAAGGACAGTACCCTCAAGGTGTCGCACTGGACTGGGGTCGGCGGGTCGGGTAGTCAAGTAAACCAGAATGAAAACACACGAGCACAGAGAAGCATCTCAGACAGAGCTGGCAGCACTGGAGAAGAGGTGGCTCTGGAATTGTATTTGGAAAGGTGAGGAGTAATCATAGAAGGGGAAAGGCATCCTGGGAGAAAGACCTGCCTGTTCAAAGGTGTGGAGTCACAGGTTGTCAAAGACTTCCAGGTACATGGATCCTCTGCACAGCATGGTGGGATGTGGGAAGGTACAGGAGATGGGGTGGGTAAGCCAACAGCAGCCAGATCTTGGGTCCCATGTGTGCCTGGCTGGGCGTCTGAGCTTGGTTCTGAAAGTCTCGCTGAATCATTCCACACAGACAAAATCAGATTTGCATCTAGGAGAGCTGGGGATGAATTTGGATTTGGACCTAGAGGAGAAAAGGTTGATGGGAAGCCTGTTGCCGGCCTCCCCTGAGAAAGAAGCAGTGGGAACGGAGAGATAGAAAAGGCCTGAAAACGCACTGAGGGGGAGAACCACTGGTCTTCAGGACTGAGTGTGGGTGGAATAGGATGAGTGGTAAGAGAGTCTCGGGTGACCTCAGGTTTCTGGCCTGGGGAACTGGGCATATGATAGGTGCAGAAGGAACAGGTTTGGAAGAAGGGTTGATGGTGATAAGAGTACTGAGCACTTCCAGCATTTCAGGCACTAAGTACTTCACATATTATCTCATTTAATCCTCACAGGTACCTATGAAATAGGGACATTGTTATTCCCACGTTAATATGAGGAAAGGAAGAGGTGAAGAAACCAAGTGGCAGGTCTGGGATGATGAGCATGCCTGCACCTTGCAGAACGCATCATCCGAAGTCGGAGGCCTCGGGGAGGTTTCCCAGGCTGCTCTACAGAGAAGCTACCCCCATACCACTAGCTCCTCCCCAGCCCTCAGCATGCAGCACCCACACTGCTGTTCAGTCACTGTCACTCAGTCTCCCTCCCCCAACCCACCCTAGGCTCTGGCTCTGAGCAGCCAGGACAGGACCACACAAGCCTTGTGACAGGAGGGCACAGGGCTCTGGAACCCTGGTGCTGAGACCCCACCCTCCCAGTTACAATGTAAAATGAAACTTAGACTCCACAGGAACAGAGAAACCAAGAAAATGGGTGTGTTCCATTTGTAATAAAAATAAACATTTTTTTTAATGGGACATTTCAGTTACATCAGAGGGTCATGAAAGGTCTCCTTGGCCCAACCCTGTGTGGACTTTCTGTGGGGAAAGGGGCAGGGCTCTGAGCAGCAGCATCTCCCAGAGAGGAAGCTCCTGCAACAGTGTTTCTCTTTTGCAAACCTTGGCTTAGAAACACCTAGGCCAACTCAAGTAGCCACAGGAGACAGACAAGGACAGTCACTTCTTTGAGCCCCACCCTCACTACCTCAACTGTTTGGCAACCCTCCAGTTGAATGAAGGGATGGAGAGTTGGGTGAGCTCTCTCTTGGGAGAGTTGTAAGGCCCAGAGAACCCTGGTTGCCACTCTCACTCTTGAACCTAAGCAGCCTACCAAAAGTCACACAGTCACTGAATGGCTCAGTGCCTCCTGGAGCCAGCAGGTTATTTAAGAGGCTGTTACAGGCAGAAGTTGGAATACCCACTTGCTTCCCTTCTCCCCTACCTTCTCAACTGTAGGAAAGAGGACCATCATGACCCCAGAGAGCGGCGAGAAGCTCATGGCATTCAAGAGTCCAGGCCCTGCCTGTTTGTGTTTTGGAATTCTGGGCTCCAGTAAAGCTGCCACTGCCCTTGAGGTCTCTGGAGGCACACAGGTGCTCAACAAGTGTCCTGGGACTTTACCTCATTTAACGCCCCCACCCTGGATTCTGTTTGCACCCTTGTGCCTATGATTTTGGGAGGGTTTCTGTCTGTTTTTTTAAATGTAAATCTTTCTTTGACCTCAGAGCAAGAGGTACTTGAGTGCTATCTCTTCTGCATTGTTTGGGGACAGCTAGACCCTAAACAGAGAAGGTGTCCACAATATTCAGGAGATGAAGGCAGTGTTGCTCCAACTATAGGTCACAGTCTGATGGTAGGTCATGAAATCAATTTAGAGAGTCATGGTCAGCATCTCAAAAAAATGAAATAGAATACAATAAATGCAATAGAAAATATCAGAGTATATGTACATAGCATGGATACGTACTTTCCCATGAACTTTTTGTCTCACAATATAAAATCCATTTCCTGCTGTGGGTCACTGTACACCCGGTCAAAAGAACACTGGTTAAGACATAAAGGTTGCCTGCTCTGCACTAGGCACTAGGCTAGGCACTAGAGACCCAGTAATGAATACTATAGTCCTGAGTCCCAACACACCTTCTGGTTGGGAAGCCCATAAGCATACTAACTGTTGCAAGACATGATGCTAAGTGCTCTAAGAGTAAGTAAGAAGTTATAAAGCCTTGATGTGAGAATGGGTATCTGGGAGGACTTCCCAGAGGAGGTGATGCAGTTAGAGTCCTTAGCAAGGAAAGACAGTGACTAGGTTCTGCTTCCCCTCCATCCTATAGATAGGAAGGGAACTACGGTACAGTGTTAAGGTTCTAGTTTGAAAGTCTAAAGAGAAATTCTAATCCTCCTTCTCCTTTTCATAAGCTTGTGAGAATTCAGGTAAGTCAACTAGCCTTTCCAAACTGTTTCATAATCTACAAAATGGGCATAAAACTGGAATTGCTCCTGGAATATACAATTTCTGCATATGGTTTTTGTAATACTAAACCTACACAAAAAATGATAATCCTTTTTCAATTAATGTTACACAATCACTTTCCATATTGCTATATAATCTTCATAACCACTGTTTTTAAGATTGGCTACTGTTTAATAGCACTATCATTCTCCAATATAGGCATAATTCATCATCCCTATTTGAAGCTAATATAATTAATGTGTCAAAAAAAATCCTCAAAGTAAGAGATCAAGAGACAGATAAAGTATGTGAAAGTACTTTTTAAACCATAAATGGAGGAGGTATTGTCTCTGTGGATAAGGAAAAGGAAGCACAGAGGTGAAGTGTCCTGCCCAACACTGCGGGACTGGAGTAGGTAGCAGATCCCTCTCAATGCTCAGTCCTCAACTCCTATCTCCTTTCTTGCTCCTGCCATTGCAATCCACCACCTTGCAGGAGCACAGAGGCAGAGCCCAAAATGGGACCCTACCCACCTAAATATTGAAGATTTATTTAACTTAAGAATTCTATTGTTTTAATGATAATTTTATGATGGGAGATAAATATGTAAGAACTTCCTCCCTTTCCTCTTTAGTTAATGAATTAGAGTCCACCCAAACTCAGTGTTTAAAGTTACATAAGCATCATTCAGATATTCTGTAGCAACTACTTTCATTTCAGAAAAACAGCATTTCCATTAAAATGGTGTTATATAAAAAGGTTGTGTGTGTGTGTGTGTGTGTGTGTGTGTGTGTGTGTGTGTGTGTGTGTAGGAAGGGATGGAGCAGGCATGCATTGAGCACTGTTAGGGCACACAGGACATACACATCACAACCTCATGGAGGAACAGAGGGGTACAGGTGTTTGATAGTACCTGGCAAGTTAAGGTGTGACCTGTTTGTCCTCCCAACCCAGTGAGACCTGGTACATGTTGGGCAATGGTAACTTAGGCAAGAAGGCCATCAGTTACTCCCAACACTCCAGACCAGAGCAGTTCTGACCTTCCTAGAAGCCCCTGCTTTGGCAGGGTGACTTCCATTGAATCATAGACTATTAGGGATGGAAATAACTCGGAGGTCACCCAGTGCAATCTCACCCATCACTCTTGCCGACCTTGTCTGGAATTGTTCTCTTCCTCCCAAGTCAGCCCATGTCACCTGTGGACAGACGTAGCTCGCTGGAAAAGGCCTAATATTGAGCTGAAATTTGCCTTTCTGGAGCTCTAACTTCTTGGGAATAAGTGTATACATATCCCTCACCTACAGCCTTGAGCTGGAGACTCCTAAGAGTTCAGGAACCATAGTCAGCAGAGGGTGCCTGGCCCCAGAGCAAAGAGGATGGGCAGCCTAAGTCAACAGAGCTGAGTAGAAGCTCTCACCTGAGTGACCTCTATTCATCTACACTGAGGCTGGGACTGTGAGGGGGGTGGGGTGGAAAGCGAAGGGGGCTGGGCTGGCCTCTGGGGTGGGGAAAAATCCTGCGTGGGAATGAATAAGTGAGTGCTTTTGAGTTGAGCCTGCACCTGTAAGTGTCGAGGGCAGACCATCCCGAGGTTAGTTCCAGCTCTTACACTCTTTGAGGTCCCGAGTCCGCACCCACCCACACACATCCCTTAGGGGATTCGATGGTTGTCCTATTTTATGTGCAACACAGGGCCCACGGTTCGTGGGTCAAGCAGAAAGTAAGAAAACTTCCCCAAACCCTCCCATCCTGGCCCGACCTTAGACTTCCCGGGTTGCGCTGGTTATCCGAAAGTCGGAACCTTTCCACAGTACGGCGTAGACACGTACGGGCAACACCTCAGCCCCGAGAAGGGAAACCTTACGCCTCGGAGTGTCCTTTTAAGTATTTGGAAAGGGGGTGTGGCCGAGGAGACTGGAAGGCCTCCGCAGGGCGGGGGGCGTGGTCTGGGGCGTGGCTGTAGCGACTGGAATGTTGTTGGGTCCCTGCACCGCATAGTAAGAAGGGGCTACGCCCCTTTCTCCGAGAGGCCCAATCGGAGCCCCGGAGCGGTTTCAAGTCTCCCCTGCCAGCCTGCTCGCCCGCCACCCCATCCCCCTCGGGGATTCTCTTTTTCTGTAACAAAATAGCAAAGCTCCGGATGTTCCGTAGCCCCGGCTGCTTGCGTGTGGAGAGGCCCGGGGCCTAGGACGGTGCCCTGGAGCTGGAGGCGCCGATGGGCTGTGGAGAGGCTGGGGATCGAGCAGAGAGGCGCGCGGGGGTGGGCGCTGCAGCCGCGGGTTGTTTATCCGGAGTACGGAGGGGAGGGGGGAGCCTGGAAACCGCCCCGTGTCCCATTTCCTCCTCTTGTTTTCGCTCCGGATTCTCCATGTTGGACCCAAACTGAGGAACCCGGAGCTGCCGCCGGAGGATCGGGGCCGGGGCACCCGGGGAAGCCGCTGCCCGGGCCGCCCGCCCTCCGTACAGGCCGCCTCCCTTCCTGGCCCAGGGAGGGAACGCGAGCAGGGATGTGAACAGCTGCGGGAGTCCGAGTCTCGAGAGCCGGAGCCAGAGCCCGCGCGGGTCCCCACCCAGGCCCCCCAGCCCAGCCCAGCCTGCGCGCCCGCCCGTCCTCCCGCCCAGCCAGCCCGGGCCCGCGGGATTGTTAGATGGAACACGGCTCCATCATCACCCAGGCGCGGAGGGAAGACGCCCTGGTGCTCACCAAGCAAGGTAGGGGCAACAACTTCCCAAAACTTTGCGTCGCCCCCGGGCGGGGAGGGGGCTGGCACAGCCCCGTACCCGAATCCCGGACCCTGACCTCTCCGGGCTCAGCGGCCGATTCCGACCAGACCCCTTTAGTCCCTCAGGCCCTGCGTGCGGGGTGTACCCAGACCCCCTTGGGGGCTGCGCGGGGCCGCGACGCCCGAGGGGGAGGGGCACCATCCGCGCAGCTGTCATCCGTCCTGCGCCACCCCCCCGGTGCAGTGAGAGGGGTACGCTCCAAGCGCGAGTCACTGCGCGCGTCCCCTCCGGAGTTGGGGGGTGGGGTCGTCACTTTCCGGCTGCCCTGGCACCGCGGGGAGAGGGCTGAGGAGAGGTCCGGATCTGGAACAAGGCCGGGACTGGAGTCCAGAACTTCGCAGGGCCCCCCAAACCCGAGGTCGCTCAGGCGGCGGGCGGTGACGCGTCCGTCGGGACTTGGGACCAAGTTCGGCGCCTGGAGGCGGGGGCGGCCGCGGTGGGGGAGGGGCTGGGCCCTGCGCTGGGCCGGGACCTGGCGACGCGGGGCTGAGGCCAGGGTGCCCCTGCGGCTCTCGCGGAGCACACGCGTCCGACCCCGAGGCCCTGTCGGCGCCCCTCCCTGCTGCCGCGCGCGCCCCCGGGGCTGCTGGTGCACACAGAGCCGCGTTTGTTTGGCCCGGGAGTGGTGTCCCTGGTTACATAATTCATCGGATGGTATCAGACCCGGCGTGGTTCTGAGTCGCGCAGCGAGAAAGTGGGAGTTCTCCGTGAGCGACGGCTCGCGGCTCCCGCCTTCCTGGGGTTCAGGTGGAGACGCGAGGAGCGTTGGGAGCCCTCGGGGGTGGGCTTGGCGACGCGACAGTGTGAGACCCCGGTCTCTCCTGGGAGCGGGGAAAGGTTGAGGCCCGAGGCTGGGATCTCTTAGTGTGGTCGCGGTGAAAGCCCCGAAACTCCTTGCTCCTTCCCCCCTTCCTCTTCTGGCCTTGAAGAATGTGTCTAAAACATCAGGCTGGATTTCCACGGGGAGTAGGGACTAGCGTCGTTTTTTTCTGGAGAACTTACTGGACTGGGGCCCTGGCCCTAAGGCTGGGAAGCGTGCGCTCTAGGGACCAAGTTCGAAACGTTCCTGCCCTTGCTTGGAATCCCCAGAACCGGGCGCCAGCGGCCAGTACTGCAACTGAACACCTCGAGGCCTGGAGCCTGGTCGGGAGCCGGCAGCGGGGCCTCAGTGTCTCCCCACATCGTCCTGTTTGGCAACATTAGTCAGCAGATCACTTAACTCCTGAGGTTTTTGGGCCCAGGGAGCTCCCCTAACTTGCCTAAGGGTAAGCTGGGCTATTGGTGTGAGCATTTCCCTAACTCCTGCAATGGAAGGGGAGGGGGCAGTGTGTGATTCCTGCATCACTTGCCCCTCCTTAAACATGCCTACCCTGAGGAGAGGTAGAGCCCTGTCTCATCAGATCCCAAGCCCGCAAAGCCTCTGCCTCCCCGCTCCCCTGGCTTCATCACTAGCCAGGCTGTGTGACCCAGGCGGCAGCCTCACCTTTGCTAGCTGCTCAGTGGTGCTGAGGGCTGTACAGGGGAGGCTTTCTGTGTTACAACTTCACTGCTCCTGTTCCCAACTCTCCCCGCCCCATCCCAGGAAAGGACTCCAAGGGCTAGCCAGAGGTGAAGAAATTTGGTGTGGAAGGATTCCAGAGGGGGGGGGGGCAGTGTTGATGAACGGGGGTGGGGGTTAGCAACCCTTTGCATTCCCTCTCAGGTCCACCCCTCATGCAGGGGCTGGGAAGGGTGCCTTCCCCGCAGGGGGTGGGGGGACCACACCAGGAATAAGGGATAGCTGGATTGCTGAAAGGACATCTTACAAATCAGAGCTGGAAGTTTCATCCACCGGGCAAATAGTGGGGAACAGAATAGAGATGACAGCAGAAAGCAAAGAGCTGGTCTCCTGATAGTGTTCTGTTGCTGCTGTGGGATGGATTTTCTTGGAGTTAGGTTTTTAATTTTCTTTTTTGTGTGTGGCTTGTCCTTCAAACTTACCCCTAGAGGAATCTGAATTCTCAAGCCAGGAGCCGTGGGTCTCTCTACCCTGAAGTAATTTCATTGCATTCTAGAAAATGCAGTACTTTCTTCCCAGGGTTGCTTGGGCACCCAGCAACCAACGAGCCAACTTTCTGAGTCCCTCACCATTTATAAATCCTGCATCTTTTCTTTTTTTAAGTGAGGTGGGGAGCAGATGTTCTAATTATCATCTTTAGAAATTCTTTGCACCTTCCCTCTCCATTGCATCCCATTTCCATGCCCTGCTGCCCTTTGAAAAGAGGCAAAAGTGTGAGGCAGTTAATCAGTAAATTTGCAGGAGAAAACCAAATTGCTCCTAGCTTAGCTGGTGTTTTGGTGAAGTTCTTTGCCACTGCATGGGTTTTGTGTTTTGTTTTTTCTTAAGCATTCTGTTCTTGGAGCTTTAAGGCTGGCTGGGTGTGCTGATGATTCAAAGGTAATTACAGTTGGGGAAGTAGAGCAAAGTTGCTAAAAGCATTGATGATAAAACGACTGAAATTGGATCATCTTCCCAGACAGATGGGTGAAATGGCTTCCTGGTACAGCAAGAACAGGGTTGTGTGTAACATCAAAAATGAAAAAAGAAAAGTTATTACCAGTTTGGCCAGAGAAGGGCCATTTTTTGTAGCCCTTAATAAGGGTGGTACGCGGAGGGGGTTAGGCGGGAAACAGGGAAACAGGACCCACCTGGTAGCTTCTCAGAGTGAAATGAGAGGGTGGCGACAGCCTCTTACAAGCTTAGAGTGACCCACAGGTCCTTGTGGGGCAGTTGGGACCTATTTTGTTTTCTGTGAGACCTGAGGCCCCTTCCTCTCAAACACAGGAAGATGGAGCCTTGGGTTGTCTTCTCACGTGTGGAGCTGAACAGCTGAACAGATTTGGTAGCAGACCAGCCCTAAGAATTAGGATGGTGGCAAGTTTTTTGAGTTTCTGCTTTCGCCTTATAGAGAGAAAGTCTGCCTTAATCTCTCTTGAAAAAGCTCAAACACCTTTCACTGTAGTTATGGATAGGTCCTTAACTTGAAAAGCTTACAGTGAGCCTCAATGGGGCCTTCTGCCTCAGCTTGCTCTGTGTGGGTCCAGAGTGTGCATGCACAGCTGGCTCCTCCTGCCCCACTGGTTCCTCCCTTCTCCCTGCCCAGTCTCCCTCTTGGCCTCTTTGTTGCTGCTGAGGCTCCCTCCTATGTCTCTTTTGGAATTTCTCCTCCATGTTGGAGTGGAGTAGGGGCCTGTATGGTGTTTGCTCCCCTCCATCCCCCAACCAAGGAACCTGGCAAGTGCTGTTAACTCATCAACAGGAATTTGTAAAATGCCTGTCATCCTGGTGCTGGGAGTTTGCAGTTCTGCTGCTGAGTTTGACTTGCAGGGCTTTCAAGGGAGCAGGACTTGGGAATTGCTGCAAAAAACTCCTCTGGGGGTGGCAGAGGTTGGTGGTGGCCTGTCTGCTGTCTGCTCCTCTCTGAACCACAGGGCTTGAATGAAACTGGGCCTTGGAGGTCCTGTGACCTCCTCTCTGTGGGACCTTCCAAATCCCTTACTTAAAATGGTAGATACTATAGAAGTCACATTTACAGCCAAGATGAATTGGTGCTTTCAGCCTTACATGGAGAATTAATTAACAGAAACGTTGGCAATTAAGTATGGGAAAGGAAGATACTATGTAAATACATACATATTTACATGCAAATACGTTTTCCTTCCTCTTGCTCCTCAACTTTCTTCCCACTAGCTTTTGGGTAATTTTGGGTATTGTCTTTTATTACCATCTTAAGAGGTCTGGTCCTTGTATTGGGTGAAATGGGGGAGGGAGGCAGGGGTAGCAGTTAAAGTGTTCGTTGTTACCTCAAGAATTATCTCAGGAGAAAATCAGTTGCTGTGGGCCTGGGTGCAAATCCTGTTTTTCCTCTTCACAATGAGACTTGACAAGACTCTTCCCTGTTCTGAGTAAATTATATGTAAAGTAGGAATATTGGTATTTATACCTCTGTAGTGCCTGGTACTTATTTAGGGTGATCAGTGTTAATATCCTACCTTTTTACACAGCTAGACCGCTACTCCCTTCCTTAGCTGTGTGCAAACTGCACAGTCACGTGGGTTTTATTGTTAAAGACAGGTGGCCAGGGGTCACAGAGGACACTAATGTGGGGTGTGGGCCTCCTGGAAGGATCAGCCTTTGAGGCTTGGAAACATCCTTGCTGCACAGACCCCTGCTTTGTGCCAGTGTGACTTGGGTGGGATATTATGTGCACCAGTGCTCACAGCATGTGCCTTGAGGCTGTTGCCATTCTCCCTGGAGCCTGGGCTTCTGGTGGTGGGAGGAGGCCAGGGAGCTAGCTCTGCACCTCCTGTGAAGAGTGGCTGAAAGTCTAAACCTCTGAGCAGTTGCTTGGCCTCTCCGAAATGGACATGCGTGAATACTGGAGACCACTGTGTGCTGCGTCGTCTTAAAGTCAGCTTTGTTTTGAGAGTTAATGAGCCCAGTGAGATTCAGGTTTCTTTCAGGAAGTTCTAGTAGGAAGGAGAGAAATAAAAACAGGTATTGAAGAGAAATAGGTGCTCTTAAGCTATGTCTTTCCTGCTGTAGTTTTGGGGTACAACACTGATCACAAACGCAGCGTTACATTCATCTTAATCCTGATTCAGGCCAGCCAGCCCTGGGAGCACAAAATTAGCTCACTTGTCTTGGGAATTTGGGATTGGGTGTGGCCCGGACATGATTGCCTCCCTCTTCTGAAACAGAGGCACAGTACCCAACTGGGATGCAGATTGACTCGTTAACAAGCAAATCTTAAGAAGGAATGAGTAGAAATCAAAGTGGAGAAGTTGACTTAGAATGGGAAGCCTCTATGGACCAGAGGCCAACTAGAACTGAGTTTCTTTGATGGCAAAGTGCCCAGCCCTTCAGGTCTGAGTGTGCCTGCTCCAGG